TGCTCCCTCTATTGGCTTGTCTGTGCCACTTGTGTGACATATATTGTGTCACTCCTTTCACCATTTGTATTGTTACACTGATGAAATGGCATTCCAACTTTTTCGAAATACTGTTAAACGTTGGTATAAGGGGGCAAGGCCTGTATGACAGATTCCCAAAGATCGCATCAAAATATTTGCATGGGGTGGTTTTTCCAAAAATGGTAAGACCAGCCTTTTTTGTTTCACAAATATTATGAACGCTAAGTTTTATATAAGTATCTTAAAAAATCATATGATGGAAATTAAGGAAATCGTAGGAAAGCAATAGAGATATCAACAGGATAATGATCCTAAGCATACTAGCCGTCTTGTACGATCATTTCTTAATAATAATGTCTTTAAGCTTTTGGATTGGCCAGCAAACAGTCTGGACCTGAACCCTATCAAAAATCTCTGGAATATTATTAAGAGGAATGTTGAGAAAAGGATACCAAAGAATCAAACAGAATTACGATATTTTATGATTGAGGAATAAGATTCTATTCCAAACAGCATGCTAAAGAATTTAGTAAGTTCAATAAGGCAAAGATGTGAGTTAGTAATAAAGAGTAAAGGAGAAAGAATATCATATTAAAATTTTTTTAATAAATCACTTATCTGTAGTCTATTAAATAAAATATTTATCATATAGTTTGCTTTAGTTGTTATTGCACAATAATCAATTATGTAATTGTCAGTAATTTCTTAACACACTGTATATAGGTCTGCTCTTTAATGATAGCTAGCAATCCAATAATAGCTAGTAGAATATTGATAGATTGATTATGTTCTAAATGCATACTGCAGCCACTTTATACAGTACTAAGAATGGGTTTCTAAATTATTTAGCATATAAAATTTCACAGATCAATTATGTCTCTTTTGAAGGGACATAATTATTTATTTATTACTTTAATAAGGACATAATTCAAAAAACACTTGAATTAAGTGGTTTAAATTACAAAAAACCTTTGTAGATAGTTTTTTTTTGACCTTATATTTAAAAAAAAACTTTTTTAATAGTGAGGGACATTTGAATTATGTCTTCACCTTTAATTTAGGAACCCATCTTTATTTTATACAAGTTAGTCTTCAAATCACATAAAGAATTTGGCATATTTATTTTTCAAATATAATAAAAGTATCCAATGAATAGAATTATATTGAAGATTCTTAAATACATTTGTACTTAATCTAGCATATAGACCTATATTATTAAGAAGTAAGCAAAGAACTTGTATTATTACTACTAGCTCTGTTTACAAGAGTAATTAAAATTTTTGATTATTATATATTACTTTATTAGAATTTTCAATCATCAGTATAATACCTGCAAACATTTCAATTTTTACTTGTAGGCTTTTTAGTTTTTATAAATAGTTTCTATTTATCTATAGGTTTTTTAGTTTTTATTTAAAGATCTTTTAGTTTCTACTATACATGTGATATAAATTATTTGCTGTTGACTTAATTCCCAAAATCCTTAAAAATAATTGCATTATAACTTAATTATTTATATGTTTTAATAGTGATTCAATTAATTGTGTCAAATAATTGCATCAATTGTATCAAGGATTTATAAATTTTAGTAACATGTATAGTTTCTACTAATAGGTCTTGTGATTTCTATATTAATATTGTTGCCATTTTACTCTGAATACTGTAGGGCACAACTTTTTGAAAATTTGAGTAACAATAATTATGCATTGGTTTCTTAGATATATCTAATATAGATATTAACAAATAAATAATATCAATTATAATAATTATAATTATGTCAATCTTTTGGAGAAATAAACCATCCATTTTTTTTTTTAGAAGCCATAAAGGAAAAAATTTTCTAAAGTCTATATTTTAAGAAAAATTGATACTTTTTGTTAAGATTCTTAAGAAAAGGAAATTAACTAACTAGAGAAGTGATGTTGTGAATTAGGATTTTCAAAAAAGAAAGAGGTTTAGGAAAGAAAATTTTCAAAGAGAAAGGAAAATCTAGTTTTGATAGAAAAAAAAAAAATAAAGGAAAGAGTGCAAAGTATAAAATGGTATGTAGAAAAGAGAAAAATAAATAAAAAGAGAAAAATAAAGAGATATAGGAAAAAAAAAATAAAAAAATAAAAAAAAAGTAAACAACTCAAAAATTTTCAAATATTATATAATTTAAAGAAAAAACAATTTGTTTTTTCTTAGTTAAAGATTTTATTCTAATATATTAATATATTTTTTTAGTTTTTTGAAACTCATAATAAAAATAAAAAATATATATAAGATTTTTAGATATTGAAAATAAAAAAAAAAGTTTTTAATAGTAAAAACTTAATGTTTTAATTAATAAAAATAGTTAAATTATTTATAGTTTGCTTATTTAAATCTGATAATAATCAATTAAATTTAATTTATATAGGCAACATGGTAGTCTTAATATTAAGAATTCAAGGATTATATACAAATTTAAACTTATTGATAGATGTTCTGCAAAGTAAAACTAGTTTAACTTTAATATAATATCATATTGTATTATTGTTGTCTAAAAATTAGATTAACAAATATTAAGACTTGCAATCTGATTAAAGGCAAAAAAAATTAATGTTTTTATTGATTTAAACCATATCACGTGATTTGCTGCACCATGCATATTTATAATATATTACAAAATTTGTATATAACTTGGAAGAACTATTTATATAGACTGCGTATTTAATGCTAACCAAATTAGTCATTCATTTAATCGTACTATTTACGCCCTCTGGACTGTTCGTATCTGATATCATGGTTGTGTACTGCAGGCCATGATTCGATGTCATGAAGATCATTGACTCGAATTGTAAATATTCAACCACGAGATCAAAACATGATAACGGATTATGTCAGAAGAAATAATAAGCTTCAAGAATTAGAGTAAAAAATCCTTGTTATAATAAATAACAATAAAAAGACAACAATAAAAAAAAATTAACTATAGAATCGAAAATATATTTGTCGATTATTATTAAAAAATGAAAAAAATAATGACAATATATTGGTAACGAACAGAAATTATCAAATCTAGAGGGAATAATTATTTGGACTATTCCACCGTAATTTAGCAAAAGAAATAGAAAAATTTATATTATTGGGATTACATGGAAGTATCATACACTATTCACCTTTATATTCTGGGTCACACCATTAGATATTTGTGCAGAGAATAATAAACTTGATTAATTTACTCTAATAATAAATATAAATTTGATTATTAAAAAATATTGGCGAAAAAAAATATTAAAGCAAAAGAGAAACCAACCTAATACCAAATTTTTTAAAAAAATTAGCTACAGCAGCTGCTGCTAGAACTTGTCTTTTGCTTAATATCCAAATCGGCTCTCTTATGAGAATCATGTTCTTGTTGGGCATGCGTATCGATTAATCTCTTCTTAATATCCCTGTGACCATTTTTAACGTCAAAACATACGATTATCAACATAAAAAGTTCAAGCGTAATACTAATGATGCACTAACCTTGCCAAAGTAAAGAACGCTTCTTCAACATTAATGTTGGCCTTGGCGCTAGTTTCCAAAAACTTGATACCAAATTCATCAGCAAGCTCCTGACCTTGTTCTTTAGTAATTGCCTAGAAAATTAAAATTTCAAAAATTTGATATCTCAGAACACAGTAAAATAATATTCTAATGTAATTACCTTCTTTTCAACCCAATCGCATTTGTTTCCAATAAGAATTTTATTAACTCCTTCGCTAGCATGTTGTTCTATATTGGAAAACCAATTTCTTATATCTTTGTTTTAGAAATTACAAATAATGAAGTTATGGAAAATAACATTTGATTTAAATAATAATCATAGTCAACTGTAATTTCCACATGATGAAAAAGGATACTGTTGAAGGAGCGTTCATCAGTTACGTCGTATACTAAAAGTATGCCCATAGCACCTCGATAGTAAGCTATATAGGCGATGTTATTAAGTATTTAAATAACTTATAAAGACAGTATTGAATAAATAAATATATATATACCGGTAGTAATAGTGCGGAAACGTTCTTGTCCAGCTGTGTCCCAAATTTGGAGTTTGATTCGTTTTCCATCTAATTCGATCGTTCGGATTTTAAAGTCGATACCGATGGTAGTGATAAAAGAAGGAGTAAAGGAATCATCGGAAAAACGAAGCAATAAGCAGCTTTTACCAACACCTATCAAAAAAAAGAATAAGAAAAGGTCATTTTTTATAAAATTGTCTTATGAAAACGTGTTTTAGGCAACGAAATATCTCCAGGAAAAAAAGATGAAGGAGTTTAACGTGGTATTTCCGCTACTGCGTCTCACATGGGAGAATAGCTACTGACCTGAATCTCCAATCAACAAAAGCTTTATAAGATAATCATACGCAGCACTTTTACTTTGGGCCATTTCTTCGACTCAACTTTTTTATTAAAAATTATGTTTTGGAATCGTTAGAGAAAAGGGATGAAAATAGTCAAATTACGCCCGTGCGACAGACGCCATAAAGGCGGGTTTTTCTTCGTTATTTATGAACCCCACGTGACGTACCAATTAAAAATTATGGAAGTACTAATGCTAAACTCTTCTTTTTTAATCACATTTATGGAAATTGATTGTTACAAATATATCCTGTTTTCCTCAACCTTATTTTTTTTTAAGAAATCGACTAAACTTAAGCGAGCTAGATTTTTTTGTTATATTTAACATTATTCATATTAATATTTGTGTAACAAAAAATTTTTTTGCTTTTTTTTTTATTAATTTTTAATTAGAATACAATAAAAATATTATACTGTACTACAGTTAAAAAAAATTTTTAATTGCAATATATGGGTAATCATTTTTGTTTCAAAAATAATTATCCATATTTATTAATAAATTTATAAATTTTTTTCTCTTTTTTTTCTTTTTTCTTTTTTCTTTTATTTTGTTTTATAGTATTCTTTTTATAGTATATTTTTTATTTTATAAAAATTTAAATTTTTTTTCTTTTAAAATTTTTATTTATTTATTTATTTATTTTTTTTAATCTTACAATCAGGTTGATATTGTTTATTTATTAAATCATAAAGAATCATTACAAGTTAAGAATGCTTGCAAAGTATAAATTTTCTTGACCCAACTTATCTATTAACAGTCAAAGCCTTTAGATGCAATTTATGAAAGTAATATGTTGCTAGACTAATGATTAGAATTAATATTCAATTATGTTATGAGAATTATAGCCTGCAGATCACTTCTACAATTACAACTATAAATTCAAATTATATCTAAAGATGGATTTCTAAATTAAAGGTGAGGATATAATTCAAATGTCTTTTACTATTAAAAAAATTTTTTTTAAAATATAAGATAAAAAAAAAACTACCTATAAAGATTTTTTGCAATTTAGGTTATTTGATTCAAGTGTTTTTTGAATTATGTTCCTATTAAAGTAAAGAATAAATAATTATGTCCCTTCAAAAGGGACATAATTAATCTGTGAAATTTTATATGCTAAATAGTTTAGGGACCCATATTTAATTGTATTACCCTATCTTGTAATAATTATACAAGGGGAAAAAGAAATAAAAAAAGAATTTTTTGGAAGAAAAAAAAAGAAAAAAAAACTATTATCTATTCTAACTATTATTAAAGAGGTTATCTCTATAAACTTCAAAATCCAAGTTCCTTATGATTTCTTATTTTTCATCACTTGTGGCTAGTCAGATTATTTAATTTCTATTAGAGTAGTTGATGTCCAAGAATATTTAAGGATACTTTCAGAAGAGTATTTCTTGAAACTTTATACTTGAAGACTTTTAATCAGAAAGAATATTGATTTTCTATTGTTAATTTCTCTTTCAAGCCATGTCTTCTGAAATTATTGCTTTATTCAACTGATGAATAGTTTCAAAATCTATTTCTCTAATTATTTTCGGAATAAATATCAGTACTTCAACTTGTTACCAAATTGAAATAGAACCTAGACCTTGTTGTTACTTCTTGTTCTTAAGAAAGAATAAAGAAGAAAAAAAAATAAATGAATGAAAACAAAAAAGAGTTGTTCCTTTTCTATATACAATTTCAACTTTACCTAATACTTCTATACTACTCCTTTAAACAAAAACTGTTCAACTCTTTCAGGAATCAATCACATCGTCAGTTTAGTGTTGTGCAATTGGAAATATGTAAGGAGTATATATCTTGTTTACTTTTTCTGGATTGATATAATCAACCAATTCATAACCTTGACCAATTATCTTTCAGGAAATCCAGTATAACTAAAAATTCAAGGTCAATTTGAGGTATATAAAATTCTCCAAAAAAGCAAAAAAAGGAGGCATACTTGAGAAAAAAGAAGTAGGAAGCTAAGGAGATAATAGAAAGACTAAAGACTTCTTTATTCTTGTTTTTCTGGATTCTTGAATCTCTTGGGAGCCTTTGAAAAATGTTTTTTCTTGTCTGTTTTCTTCTTGTAAAGATGTTCTTACCATGGATCTTTTAGATAGGTTTCTTGTATTTAGTTACAAAAATAAACAAAAAAAATATTTTGAAAAAAAAAATAAAATAAATGGTAACTTCTGCTTGCTTTGCTAATTAAGAAACTAATATTGTTAAAGAGAGTATATAGACTTTATTATCATAAAAATATAAAATCTTTTGAAAACATCTGTTTTTTGAATTGGCAAAAAAATTAATAGAAAAGATTTTTTTTTTATTTTTTTATTTCTTACTTTTTGTATTTAAGCTAATAATTATATTATTAACTTTTTAATTAATTAAGTTTTTTTTTTAATACTAACTGCACTACATGCATAAATTTTATTAATTATTTTTAAAGATTACATTTGTATATGAACAGTCTATTAACTATTGCTAATATTAACTGGTACAGTACAGTTTTAATCAGATATATTAACTTATATTATATAAATGAATTTATATATCAGTATTTAAAGGAGATAAAAATCCTGTCACTAATTTAAACTACCTAATTTTTCTAAGAATAAGAGTGAAAATATACTAATTAAATATCTTTATATACCTTACCATATCATATTCTTTGTTTTTATATAGCCATAATATCTTAAAAGACTTACTTGAATTACATTTTCTAGTAAATATTTCAAGAGTTATTCCTATAGTTGGTACATATTACCAAATCTGGAGTTCGGTTGCTAATTAAATGGAATATAATTCTTAAATCTTTCAGCAAATACTCTATAAGCTTTTAGTTAGTTTAAGCTATCAAATCTAAAAATATAAATATTAAGTAGAATACAACTTCTATAGAACTTGTCCAGACATTATCCATATATAAGTATTTCTAGTCAATGTTTTTTTCAAAGTAATCTAATCATAATTGGTATACTGATTAATGAAAAGATTGATATGTATAATTTTTCAGCTAAATTAAAAACTATGGTTCTGAAAATTGGAATTAAACAGAATCATAGGGAATTGTATAAGGTTTGAAACACTATTAAAAATGATGGTGAGATATATCCCATCTATTAAATTTAATATGAACTTGAAAATCAAATACAGAATTAAAGAGAATTGTTAGGATCTTTATCAGAAATTTTTTCTCTAATTAATTAACTTTTTTAAAAAAGTTTTAATATATATATATATATATATTAGTCAAATCTTTTATATAACAATTGTAACTTTAATAACAAAAGTTAATAAAAGTTTCCATGTAATATTAAAAAAAATAATTAAAAATAATTAAATTAAATACAATTAAAAAAAAAACTCTTTCCTGTTTTCTTCACTTTTTTGAAAAACTTTCTTTTTAGGAAATTTTAACAAGACAAGTTTTTGGGTTTTTTGACAAATTATTTTTTCTTTAAAGAAACTTTTTCCCTTCCTTTATTACTATCGAGAACAAAAATTCTTTTTTAGAGAAGACTACTAATTGTCCCCTTCCTGTTACAACCTAAGAGATTTAGATCGAGTAGTCCTAGGTATACATGTGGTGTAAATTATTTTACTGTTAATTCAATTCCTAAAATCCTCAAAAATAATTGCGTCATGACTCAATTATTTATATGTTTTAATAGTAACTCAATTAATTGTGTCAAATAATTGCATCAATTGCATTAAGGATCTACAAATTTCAACAACATGTATAGTTCTAGGTGTTACATGCAGAAGGTCAAATCCTAAGCTTATTGGATGAAAGACTGGTTTTTCCTTCTTTAAAATGAAAAGTTATCTTTGTTAAAACTGATACAACAAATCTATTATATCTCAAGTCTTATTACAAATAAGCCAATTTTAAAAGTTTGGTTGAAAAGACTCAAGCTGCATAAGGATGTGACTCTTGGTCAGATTTATCAAGACTAGATACCTTAATAATAAAGGTTGCATAGAGAAAGGTCTTTGGTTTGACTTCTTTTTCGCTTACATATATGGATACAAAAAAAAAAAAACCAAAATCAATTTACCCCCTCCAAAAGATCAATAGATCTTTTTTCTCCAATCATATTTTATAAAAATCATATTATCAACCACCACTATCACAACAACAATAACAACAAATCATAACAACAACAATAACAATCTGTTACATATTAATAATCTATTTATAACTTTGAAAAAATCAGCGATATGGACACTAATATATGGCATCATAATGGTTTTTAAATGAAATACCGTATATGTAGAAATTGCATCCTGCTTGACATTTTTGCTCTTATATTTGATAGCTTAAGTCAATCAATTTCTTTGGAGTGTTTACTAGAAGATTTTGAAGTTATGTCCCACTTGGCCTTAGGGCTCCTAGATTTGGTAGTTAGTATCAATCAAAGACTACAGTTTTGGAGCATTTATTAGGAAATACATATTCATATTTAATTCTCTTTAAATCCATAGCTGCGTAAGCCGAAGCTGTAATGTAAAAAGTTATTTATTAATTATTAATATGTATCAAATCAATTTTCTTTTTTTTTTCTTCTATTAATTTTCCTGAGTAGAGATCTTAGCTACTCGACACTATTTTTGATATGTAATAGTTTTAATATTTGTTTTACTTAATGCTTAAATAGTTGTATGTAGGTTGACTAGCATTAGACTTATTAGCTTATTAAGTTATATAAAAGATGTTGTTGCTTTCTGTATATAAAGTTTAAATAATTTTACTATAAATAAAGTAATAAAGTTTTTCTACATTAAAAAAAAAAATAATAATTAAATTAAATACAATAGAACCTATATATAGTTATACTATTGGGCCAATAATAATTTTTTTAAAAAATATTCTTATATATAGATTTGATTTAATATGATTTTAATATATTTTATTAATTAATAATAATTAATAAACTGTTAATATACAGATATACAGTAATCTTTAAAAATAATTAATAAATTTATTTATATAATATATTTATTATTAAAAAAAAAATATGGTTTATATT